CTACCACCCACGTCCTCCAACTCCACGTACTGCATGGTAGGGCACCCGTAATGAGCCCTCGCGACTTCCACAACTTTGGGCAACTTCAGAACAAAGCTTGCTGGCTTATTGCGAACAGACACAGTATCAACCATGTTTCTTTTCTTAAATAATTGAAAGTCGAATCCCAACGCATGCAGTATCTCGTGTGCCAATGTATGTATGGAAGAAATAATGTTAATGGTGTCTACGGACCCAAAATTGGCAACACCCACCAAGGGGCGGCCACTGCGGTCAAACTGCCACGGGAGTGCCCACGCGATAGTACCAAGTTCAATTGGTCCCGCTGCAACGTACAGCACAAAGTCGGTATCCGGCACACCGGTGGTGTGGTGGGACTGGGGAATCGTAAACTGAGAACAAAGGGACCACTTGAATTTTCTAACACGGATATTGTGTCTGAGCGGTTGCACCAGCAGGCGGTCCTTGTGCATCTGTATCGCCTTGGGGATTATCACCTCACGCAGCAGTTGCTTCTTTTCACCGGTGAGAATGTCATCGGATTTGCATTGCAGCATGGAGCCTTTGAAATCAGGCCTCATCTCCCCTGGCTGAGTGCAGTAGCGGGAGCTGTCGTCGAGGTCCTCGGTGAACACCGAGATGCGGATCGGCTTCCATGGGTGAAGGGGGGTGAAGCTGCCATGCTGCTCCGCACCCTGCCCCTGCGGCGCCCCGCGGTCCCCCACATCGGGGACGGCACTGGTGCCGGTCGCCAGCTGCAGGCGCTGCAGCTCGTCGAAGATACAACGGTGCCCCGCAGCGATCAGCGGGGCCCCGACAAGCAGCGCGAGCAGGACAGCGGCAGCGGTCAGCGCGGACACACGCAGGCCGGTGCGCGGGTTGGGCATTCGGTGGCGTGTGGCGGCGGGGATCGTGGGCAATGCGCTTGGCTGCGGTGTGTGGGTATGGATGGGTGTGTGTGTGTTTGGATGGTAATGTTGTTGTGCGAGTGTGTTACTGTTGTGGTACGTGACGCAACGCACATGTGTGGTGTGAAGGGGAAGAAGAAGAAGAAGGGAGGAGGGTTACTCAGATGCGCACCAGATGACCATGCAACTCGGCTACGGTGCCCTGCTGCACTGCGCCATTCCAGGTCCGTGACACTCGCAATGGAAGTCGTAATAACAATGTGTCCCAGTAAAAGTATATAAGGATCAACCGTTTTGGTGTAGTTACAGTTTGAATATTAAGATATAAAAATTAATTAACGCATAATCAGGTATAATTTCTGGAAAGTAATATAGTATCATTGATTTCAACAGTAGAAAGAAAGTGACCTAGTTACCCCACAAATAAGGACGGGGCATCGGAGTGCTTACCTCGGCACCGTTCCACTCGCTATGCTTCCCTTGATCCGCGGGTGTGCACCCCATCCTCGTCCCTTGGTCACACGGTTTTAGTTCAACGTTGTATAGTGATAATAGCATACACGATTTAATCCAACTCAGTCAGTGGTTTCCCCACTCCCGGTGAGATGCAATTTATAAATTACACATCGAAAGATGAAAATACTTCATGTACGCCCGAAGAAGAAAGAAAAATAACGAATAATAATAATAATCGCCTAAATATTAAAGAATACAAGTATAAACAGAAAAGATATATATACGCACATGAATATATATATATATATATATATAAAGAAAGATTCGTTTGCTTTGTTAGATAAAAAGGAAGTAAAATTATATCACTGAATGAAAAAAACGATCAGGGGCCACCCTACAGCGCACGTTTCTCCCTGCCATCATTCAGCAAGGACAATCAGAACAGCCAGGGCCGCCACAAGCGTGTGAGTGAAGT